AGAGCAGACGCATTCTTTGGATGTGGCAGGTTTTTCCGGGATAATCCCGGAAAAACTCTGCAGTTTAGACATATCCTTTCTGTCCCTGTTCTGGGGCTTTGTGTCCTCCGAAGAGGATCTAGTTAATGTGAAAGTGGCAAAGGCTGCAAATATATACAGGGAGTCTCCAACTTACGAACGGGCGGTGTTCCAAAAGTTCGTTGGAAAGTCGGTTGCTTGGAATTTTCCCATGGAAACACTGTTATAAAGGGTGATGAAGTTCCCACGCTAGCCCACAAAAGCCTATTTTGCCCATCACATAGCTGAAATACTGTTTGCAATGAAAAATAGTAGAAATAGTTTTTAATTGAACCTTGAATGCTGAATTAAACCTGAGGAAAGGCAGGTTTAATTGGAGGAGAATGAGGAGGTTGGCGGAGATTCGGAAGGGGACGTCTCCCACAAAATTTGCGCCATCCCCTATCGGCTAACCGTAACCGCTAAGTCTCACCCGTTAAGGGTAAGGCTTACCGGTGAACCATTCACATCCCTACTCTGACCCTGAAAACTGAGGGGGACCGTAACTGACTTGGTCCATTTGACCCGTTCGGATCCGGATCCACGTCACTGGGGAAGACTAGTCTGAAGACTAGCTCGGAGCCACCTTTGTACCAAATGGCTGTTCATGTGTATCCCTGCAGGTCTTGGCTCTGGTCTTTGTCCGGCAAGTCATGGATTTCTGTTTCTCAAAGCGCGAGCTCAGCTGGCTGGATGACCTCATGCCAGAAAGCAAGAAGAAAAAACTGGATGATGCCAAAAATCAAGCCAAGGAGGAAGAGGTAACGTTCAATGAGTGTGTGGCGGGGTGCCCTTGGGATTGTTCCCCGGTGCGCTGATCATGCCACTGACACCCGCCTTCTTGCTCTCTGGGATTCCCCACCACCCTGTCCTGCTGGGCCAGATCCTCTGCTCTCCCCCAGGCAAGGCACAGAGTTGGGGTTACCGCCCCCCTGCAGCGCAGTGCAGACACCAAACCACTTCCCCTCTGAGAGGACGCAGATCTAGGACTCAGCTCCCAGGAAACCAATCGCAAATGGGATCCAGACCCGCCCCCAAATAAACCTGCCTTTGTGTAAAAGTTTTACATAGGGAAAACGTATCTGGTAAGCTCCCTTTATCAATGAGAGAGAGATGCACACTGGGTGTTCCCCGCGGGTAACAATTATTTACACGGGACCTGATGGTAAGCAAAAGTGTTTTTTATTAAGTGCACACTGGAAGATTTCAGTTAGGGGTGGGCAATAATTTTTGAGAGGGGGGTCAACCCAAAGAAAGGCTTGAGGAGCCTGAAGTCTGAACCCCTCATCTCCTACTCCACCACAAAACAATGATTTAAGTGAAGAAAAACAAAACTTGGAGTTAAGGATCCGAGCAATGCTGGGTAAATCTTCCTGTCTGCTCGACAGGTTTTTATACCATACACATCTCTGTAGTATCACAATGCCTTTATAGCTGGTCACATGTGGTTTATCCTCTCATCCTGGACTGTCTTGTTTGGGCAGGTTTTTTTTTTTATATACATGTTGCTATTGGAAGATCTAGCACCCTTTGTTCTCACGGTTCTATTTAACTTGTACCCTGGCCTGCAGAGAGAACCTAGTATGTCTACCCTTCATTTCTTCCACAACAGGGAAAGAACTTGTTTTGTTTGGTCGTTTTTTAAACAGGAGGCTGAGAAAATGATGGAAGCAGCTGAAGAAAATGTAATTCAGTTACCGTTGGGGAAAACGAAATATTTGACCGTTCCCGGACGAAATAACAATAGCAGGTACAATTCGCTAAGAAGATCCCCCCGGTATTAATAATTGTCACGTCCTTTGCTCGGCGTGTATCTTCGTGGCTCTGCTGTATTGCTGTCAATCCAAGCATCAGTGTTCTCGGCTGGCATCGTCCCCGCAGGCCAATGAAGCTGCATGTCAGTGTGATTTGGGAATTCATAGAATCCTAGAACCCCAGGGCGGGCAGAGACCTCAGGAGTCATCGAGTCCAGTCCCCTGCCCAAAGCTGGACCAACTCAACTCAATCAACCCAGCCAGGGCTGTGTCACGCCAGGACTTAAACCTCTAGGGATGGAGATTCCACCCCGTCCCTAGGGAATCCAGCCCAGCGTTCCCCCACCCGCCTAGGGAAATTGTTTTTCCTAATATCCAACCTAGACCTCCCCCACTGCAACTTGAGCCCATTGCTCCTTGTTCTGCCACCTACCCCCCCTGAGAACAGCCTCTCTCCAGCCTCTTTGCAACCCCCCTTCAGGGAGTTGAAGGTTGCTCTCAAATCCCCCCTCACTCTTCTCTTCTGCAGACTAAACAAACCCAACTCCCTCAGCCTCTCCTCGTCGGTCATGCGCTCCAGCCCCCGAATCATATTGGTTGCCTCTGCTGGACTCTCTCCATTGCATTCACATCCTTTCTATAATGGGGGGCCCAGAATTGGACGCAATACTCCGGATGTGGCCTCCCCAGTGCTGAATAAAGGGGAATAGTCACTTCTCTAGATCTGCTGGCCATGCTCCTTCTAATGTATTCCCTTGGAGCCTTTAAACATCCAAGCCCGTCATTATAACCCAACAATAAACAAATAGCTCGACTTTCTCCCAGTGTTGCCTATTTAAATGCCCTTGATATTCCAATAAACACAGAGGCCATTACTCCGTTTTGGACTCTCTGGGCAGATTGAGGGTGTAGAGAGAAACTCCAGCATCTGTAATAGTGTTCCTAACACGGACCCTTCCCTTGTTAACCGCTCTGAGAGCAGACGTGTATTAAATAGAATTGGTTGGAAAACAGGTTTTCCATCCTGTGATAAATTTCCATTTTCCCCCACCCGTAATTGGGGAAGAAAGCCTAATTTTTGAATTATTTTGTAAAATGATTTAAAAAAAATCAATAGGGTTGAGTTAATTGCAACATTCTGTTTCACCCTTTTTACGATTTTTAAAAAATGAAGTCCATTTCAAAACAAACCAAAAAAACCGTACTTTTGAAATGAAAATGGCCGCGTGGTGTTCCGACCATGTCAAAACGGGAACGTGCAACGTTTCCCACAACGGATCCAATGTCGGGAAAAAAATCGGTTCCGCCGAAACGGCCCTTTCCGATGGAAAGCCATTTTGCCAACGTTTCCCCAACCGGCTCTGTTCGTAAGGAGAACGATGAGGGTGTGAAAGGTTTTTTCAAGAGCCGTCAGAGCAAGGCGCCCCATTGATCCGTGTTGACAACCCCCGCTAGGCAGAACCCAGTGGCTGACATGTCCTGACATGAAAGTGATGTGAGGGTTCTCACCCCTTCCTCATGGGAAAACCCACTGAAGCCAAGATCTGGCGGTGGATGTGACAATTAAGGTACCTTTGCATTTTGCGAGAAAGCTGTTTGGGGGGCAAGGCACCGAGCAGGGATGCGGGAGGTCCCAAATCTACACCTGGCTCTGCCGTTGGGTGGCTGGGTGACTGGGGGGGTCCCCTGACTCCCTTCCCCATCTGGAAAAGGGGGTTAATCGTCTCCCTTGGCAAAGTGCTGAGTGATCTTTAGCCGGAGAGTGTGATGTGGGAGCTGGAGCAGCCGGTTTCAAACTCCGGGCTGCAGGAATATTGGGCCCTGGGTCTCATGGCTGCAGGGGGGTCAGGTGAGCAGCGGGGGGGCTGAGGCAGCTCCCTGCCTGTCCTGCGCTGCGCCCCAGAAGTGGCCGCAGTAGGCCCAGCTCTTAGGTGGGGGTGGGGTTGGAGCACAGGGCTCCGCCCCCTCCCCCCCCCCGTCTCAGTCACTGTCTCTGCACTCCCATTGGCTGGGAACCTGCTGCTGACTGCTTCTGGGGGCCGCATGGTCTGCGGGACCAGGAGAGAGAGGAAGCTGCTTTAGCCCCTCCCCCCCCCCGCCCACTGCACTGCTGATGGGGAGTGGCTGGAGGGAAGCCCCCCTGCCCTAGCCCTGCCCCCCAAAGCCAGAGCCCCCTCTTGCACCCCAAAACTCCCTCCTCAGACCCAGTCCAGATCCCACACTCCAATCCCATTCTGTTGGGCAGCAACGATTTTCTTCAGCAGAGAAAAAAAAGACGTGAAAAGCGCTGAGCTAGGTCCTATCCGGATGGATTCCATTTCCTAGTCCCTTGGCTCCATCAGCACAGGCGTTAAGAGCAACCCCCCGGCAGCATCGGCTTCCAAGACATGCATCATGCCCCCTGCTCCTCTGCTGGATACGCTGCTGCAGTCATTTTCCCGCTTGGCGGCTGCCCTGTGGTTTCCAAACTTTCCGAGCGCACCCGGCAGTCCTCTGCTCTCAGTTGAAGTTTCAAGCCCTCCCAGACCAGCCCCCTCTCTGGTGCCCCCAGACTGGGACGGTCAGATGAAGGCTGCCCGAAGGATCAACCGGTTTGCTCTTTGCACTGGGGACGCCCGAGTTAACAAAATGGGCGCGTAGACCATGAAGCCATGTGCTGACTCTGTGCAGGGCATCACATTTCACACAAAAGCTTTCTTCAAGAACAGCTGGATGCAGTTCTGCCATATTGGGTCCTGTCAGTGTTCCCTCTAATTTTTGCTCCTGTGTGCGGAATAAATTTTGTTATATGCACAGAGGCATGCACAGATGTGCACCACCTGTGGGCACCCATCACTCCCAGCCCGCCCCGTAGAGGCTCAGCCCCTCTCAGGGTTGGTTCCTAAAGTCAAGGGTTCATGTGGGCAGGCTTGTCGACTTCAGGTGCTTAAAGATAAGCCCGCGCTTAAGCCAGCAGCGATCCTGGTGAACCAGGCCTCTCCTGTTTGTTGCAGGGACGACCCTTCAGAGATCAACATCTCCGACGAAATGCCTAAGACGACTGTCTGGAAAGCTCTCAGCATGAATATAGAAAAACTCTAAATCCAGTGAGAAGAGGTAAAACAGGCAGGGCACCTTTTTGGGGTCGTGGCGGGGGGGAGGTGCTGACCCACCGAAAAATCAGTCGGGAGGCCGCACACAAGTGAGAAACAAAAAAACCTTCCCTGATGTGGGCCCCGTCTAAGGAGGAGAAAGACCCTCCCTCATTTCCCCCCCCCCACCAAAGCCGGGAGGGGTGGGGGGGGATCAGGTGTGTAGATTTTGTGTGCTTCAGCCCCATGGAAGGATGGCAGGGAGCTGGAGTACAGGCATGGGCTCCCTAATGTTGGGGAGGGGGAGCCCTGAGCCTTGGGGGATGGATCTAGGCAAGCGAGGGCGGGGGGGAGAGAAACGCATTCAGCTCTCGGTCCTTAGGTTCCCCACCCTGAGGTAAAGCAATGGGCTGATCAGAGAGAACTAGGGGACACCCAATGAAATGAATAGGCAGCAGGTTTAAAACAAGCCAAAGGACATTTTTTCTTCACACAGCGCACAGTTAACCTGTGGAACTCCTTGCCAGAGGATGCTGTGGAGACCAGGACTTTAACAGGGTTCAAAAAAGAACTAGCTAAATCCATGCAGCTTAGGGCCATTAGCCAAGATGGGCAGGAACGGTGTCCCTAGCCTCTGTCAGAAGCTGGGAATGGACGACAGGAGAGGGATCACTGGATGATTCCCTCCTCTGTTCACTCCCTCTGGGGCATTGAGCATTGTCAGCAGACAGGACACTGAGCTAGAGCGACCTTTGGTCTGACCCAGTGTGGCCGTTCTCATGTTGTTAACGGAGCCGTGGTCTTCCTTGGCACAGTGTCACGCCAGTGCGACGACGCAGTCGGAGTTCCCTCATTCCTGCACCCCCGTAGCAGCCAGAACAGACTCTGCCAGTCGTAGAATAGAGAGGGGTTTATTGTTCCTTCAGGATACAGGATACAGCACAACACAGGGCCAGGATGCCTCAGACCCTAGGGTTAGGGTCCATCGCCCCTAGGCCCCCCCACTTCGCCTGTTCTCCCCATGCTTCCCAGACAGCCTCTGTCTCCCCACAAGGCCCTGCCCCCCATCCAGGTGCTGGTCTCCGCCTTCCTCCCTTTGTCTCTCTCCCTTGGAGGCTGAGCCTAGGGCTACGTCTACACTAGCATGATTTTCCGGAAATGCTTTTAATGGAACTACGTCACAGCGAGTTGGATGGGTGTGAGCGTGTGGGCATGAGACACACCCAGAGCTCGCTTGCAGGTTCCCTGATCTGCTGGAAAGATTAAGCAAATGCCCCGTTCCCTAGAGGAGTAACCGGGGGAGCAGGGGGGAATATCCGTGAGATAAGCTGTACAGAAATCCACCCCCTGCCCGTGCAGTTTTCCCACAGGCAGGCACGGACCAGCCACTGGCAGCCAATTTGGCCGTCTCTTGCTAAGGAGGCTCCGTCTCTCTCCGCGTAGCTTCTCCACGCAGGGACCTTGACTTCGGCGGAGGCGAGGGTGAAGATGACTCAGGGACGAGCCAAGACAGACGGCCACGGGGAGACGCGACTCGGAAAACCGGCGCCACGACACAAAAGCGCCGCTCTCCTCGGGTGCTGTTTTCCTGCGAGTAGCTGGATTCCCATTAAACCCATTCAGATCTTTGCGGTGAGCTGCGGCGTGCTTCGGCGGGGCCGGATTCTCTGCGGAGCAGCGAGCGGAGGTGCCGCCAACGACGGTTCAGTGTTACGAAGCCTCCCTCTGTGTGTGTGTGTGCGCGCGCGTTTCCTCTTCTCTTCATGGTTAGACCGCACAGCCCTGGAGCGTTACTGATTTTTTTTTCCCCCAATCTGGTTTTCTTTGAAAAATATAAAGGCGGAAAATACACAAGTGCTTTTTCTGGACGTCTTGGGCCACCCTCCTCGCCTTGTTCTTCACCCGCTGGTGACTGGGCCGGTGGGGGGCCTGGGGTAAGTTTCGGCAGCAATTTCTCTCTTCTCGTGTGTGTTGTCAGAGGTGGCATGGGGGCCGTCGACTCCGTGAGCTCTCCAGGGCTGGAGCACCAGTGGGGGGAAAAGTAGTGGGTACGCAGCACCCATCAGCGAGCTACCAATCAGCTCCTCCCTCTCCCTGCCCAGCACCGCCCACCTTCTGGGGCCACCAATCATCTCCTCCCCTCCACATCCAGCACCGCCCACCTGCTAGGGCCACCAATCAGCTCCTCCCTCTCCCTGCCCAGCACCGCCCACCTTCTGGGGCCACCAATCATCTCCTCCCCTCCACATCCAGCACCGCCCACCTGCTAGGGCCACCAATCAGCTCCTCCCTCTCCCTGCCCAGCACCTCGCGCCTGCTGGCAGGCCCCACCAATCAGCTCCTCTCTCTTCCCGCCATGTTCCTCCCCCCAGCTCCCGCCTTCCTCCCCTCCTCCCAGCACCTCCCACCCACCGGCGATCAGCTGCTTAGCGGCGTTGAGGAGGTGCCGGGAGGAGGCGGGACAGGAAGAGGCGGAGCAGGAGTGGGGGAGGGGTCGGAATGGGGCGAGGAGAGCGGAGGGGAGAGGCGGGGCAGGGTGGGGCGTGGGAGGGGCGCGGGTTGAGTATCCTCAAGGAAATTCGAGAGTCGGCGCCTCTCGTGGCCACACGCCCCTGCCGCGACAGCCCGTGGGGGTCCGGCCCGAGGCAGCAGGCTGGCGTTGACGCACACGCCCCTTCTTCTTTCGGCTGCCGCGCTCACAGTCTGGCCGCTCCCGCCCGGATCCAGCAAAGCAAAGTCGGCAAATCCAGTGTTCAGCCGGTCGGTGCCGCGTTTAGGAGTGACTCTCCGGGGGGACTCAGGCTTCTGAGGGCCTAAATCCCTTTTCCCATGACACTTCCGCTCCTAAATCAACGAGGCGCTGCAGCGTTGAACTCCACGCCGCCTCGAAACGCCTTCGGAAAAGCTCTGTGTGTCGGGGGCTGGGAATGGGCGACGGGAGGGAGCACTTGGTGACTCCCTGTTTTGTTCGCTCCCTCTGGGGCACCGGGCATTGGCCACGCTGGGCTGGATGGGCCTTGGGTCTGACCCGTCTGGCCGTTCTTGTGCTCTTAAACCAGGCTTCATCTGAGGCCCGTGCACTCACGCTGAGGGAATGGGAGCAGTGTAGGGATGGAAGGGACCGCAAGAGGCCATCTAAACCCATCCCCCCGGTCTACAGTGTAGCAGGGACGCCCGAGCGGGGAGGGTTGTGTCCACGGGCGACTCCAGGCAGCGCCGTGGCCCGGAGGGCAGCCTCGGCAGGCTGCCAGCCCTCAATGACAGCAGGGACCACTGTCATCCCTGGAGGAGCCCGGGAGGAGAAAGGGGAAAGGTAGTAACAGCTGCTCCGCCAAGCAACAGGTAAGATTCTGGGTGGTACCTCTTAGAAGCTCACCTGTTGACTCTCGGGGGGCTAATCAGAGGCCTTTTGACTGCACAAATTACTACCCCAGGAGGGGCGACCAAAACCTGAGCCCTCCGGAGTCCTGCCACCCCAGGCAGGGAAGGGGGGCAAAACCAAAGCCCCAGCCCCGCTGTCCCAGGTAGGGGGACCAAAGCTGAAACCTTAAGTGTGTCAAGCCTTGGAAGGGGGCCTGTAACCTCTGGCTCTGTCCCCAGGCCACAAGAAGTCCACTGTGACCCCAGGCGACCCCATTCATGACGAACATCCCCGCTAATCTTTTCTGCCTCTGCGCGGAATAATTTTTTTCATGTGCACCAAGGCGTGAGCAAATGTGCACCATTAGTAGAAAGAGAAAACCAAGCTGTGGGCGCTCTGCCGATCAGCTTACAGGGATCACTGATTGGGGTTCCCTTTGGCATCCCGTCCTATGGTTTGGGCACCAACATCCTAGTTCAACAAGGGGTTTAAATACTTTGCTGAATCTGCGCTCCGTTCTGCTGTTCTGACTTGGCCCAAACTCAGCTCCTGTCGATGTCAATAAGTGAGTCACTGAAGTTAGATTTTTCCAGATCAGTGTGTAACAAGCGCCTGGCGTCTCTAGTGACTGATCTTTTTCTGGTTGGTTTTGTTTTATGAAAGCTGAAGTTTTTGCAGAACGTGACTCCGGATGCAGGAGATTTCAGGAAACCACCAGAGTCAGCATCACTGATCAGCTGCCATCTTCACTGCCCATGTTTTGAACAGGCTTCTGTTTTCTACTATGTCTCACAACTGGCTGACTTATTATCTAACAGCAATGACTAGGGATCAAAGGGTCAGAGTGGACCACAAGCTAAATAGGAGTCAACAGTGAGACACTGTTGCAAAAAAAGCCAACGTGATTCCGGGAGGCATGAACAGGAGTGTTGTGAGCAGGACCCAAGAAGTCATTCTTCCACTCTACTCTGGGCTGGTTAGGCCTCAGTTGGAGGATTGTGTCCAGTTCTGGGCACCACATTCAAGAAAGATGTGGAGACATTGGAGAAGGTCCAGAGAAGAGCAACAGGAATGACGAAAGGTCTAGAGAACATGAGCTGTGAGGGAAGACTGACAGAATTGGGCTGGTTTAGTTTAGAAAAGAGAAGACCGAAAGGGGAACATGATCACAGTTTTCAAGTATCTAAAGGGTGTTACAAGGAGGAGGGAGAAACATTTTTTCTCCTTGGCTTCTGAGGACAGGACAAGTAGCAATGGGCTTAAATTGCAGCAAGAGTGCTTAACACGACGAAACTGTCCGAGTGGTTAAACACTGGAATAAATTGCCCAGGGAGGTTGTGGAATCACTGGAGACATTTAAGAGCAGGTTGGACAGACGCCTGTCAGGGACAATCTAGGTATTTCTTAGCCCTGCCTTGTGTGCAGGGGGCCAGACTAGATGACCCGTGTTCCTTTCCCTGCTTCTGCTACGCTATAACAGATTTGTCTGTTCTCTGGCAATTCTGAAAAATAGAACAGCAAGGAAATGAAAATGATTCCCCACCCCCTGCAAAAGGACTCTTTTGATGAACGGGAAACTATATCGATTTTGAGTATTTTCATTTAAAAAAATCCAGTGGAAGGAAAATTGGACACCAAAAGTCATTTCAACTTAAAAAAAAAAAAACCCCAGCATGTGCTTTTCCCTGCCACCCACGGGGTGAACAGTGGGGATGTCCCGACATCTGTATTTTTTTGACTCCAAAGCACTTTGTCAGCAATGCTGGCTTCTCACAGAGGGCAGCATCAACCCAAGCGTCTGCAAACCCCAGGGCATGGGCCTCCCGGGCATCCCGGGCATCCCGGGCATCCCGGGCATGGGCACGCAGCGCCACCCCTGGGTGCATGGCGCATGCGTGGGCCCGCCCCCCCCAAGGAGCATGGGCCT